GAAAAGGTCCTGGAAAAAAAAGCAATTGGCGCCTCGGTGCCATTGGGAAGTCTGTGACTTAGGACAGCTCCTATCCCGAAAGGGGATGCGTCAGCGGCCAAGACCAAGGGAAGGCGTTGCTTGAACTGAATTAAAACGGCATCAGAGGTGAGCAGAGATTTGATCGCTTTAAATGCATGGGATTCTTTGGGGCCCCAGTGCCACGGAGTGTCTTTATCTAATAACCTGTGTAAAGGTTCAGCGACTGAAGCCTTGTGTGGTAAGAATGAAGCGTAGAAATTTAATAAACCCAGGAAGGCTTGTAGTTCCGTTTTATTGGTAGGTGTGGGTGCCTCGTGGATGGCTTTTACTTTTGACTCCACTGGGTGGATGCCTGAGGCATCTAGTCTATATCCTAAAAAGTCCACCTGTCTAGTGGCGATGGTGCACTTCTCCCGTTTGAGTTTGAGACCATGCTGTCTAAACTTCTCCAATACTGCCCTAACCCTCTGGAGGAGCTGGGGCCTGTCCATAGCTGAGACCAAAATATCGTCAAAGTAGGGGACTACTCCTGGAAGACCTTGGAGAATTCTCTCCATTAGTGACTGAAATATACCTGGGGCTACGCTAACGCCGAATTGGAGGCGTTTACACCTGAATGCCCCTCTGTAAGTTACTATGGTTTGTAAGTCTGCTGTGTGGCTGTCGACAGGGAACTGCTGATATGCCTGTGACATGTCTAGCTTGGCAAAAATGGTGCCGGGTTCGAAAGTGTGCAACAGGTGCTGGATGACTGGGACGGGGTATGCCCTAACCTGGAGATAACGGTTAAGGGTCGTCTTGTAGTCAGCACAAATTCTCAAACTACCATCCTTTTTTAGTGGGGTGACTATGGGGGTCTCCCACTTGGCGAAATCTGTGGGTTCAATTACCCCTTGTTTGAGAAGTTTGTCTAGTTCCGCGTCTAATTTGGGGCGGATAGCGAAAGGTACTCTACGGAATTTCAGGCGGACAGGAACTGCCTGGGGGTCTACGGAGAAGGAGATGGGTGTGCCATTGTAGCAACCCAGCTCGCTACTGGAAACATCGGAATAGTCAGAGAACAATGTGTCTACATTAGAAGTTGAGACAGCATGAATCCCTGTTACACTAAGGCCAAGAGAGGGGAACCAATCTAACCCCAAAAGACTAGGGAGGGTACCATTAACCACCACTAAAGGCAAATGGCCTTTGAAGGTTTGGAATTTCCCGAGGACAGGGATGTTCTTGCCTTGATAGTCTCTCAGGGTGAGGTGGCACTTTTGCAGCTGCTTCCTGGTCAGTCTGGGTTGAATCTTTTTTAGCGTATCCCAGGAGATGATTGAGAGCGCTGAGCCGGTGTCCACCTCCATGGTGCAAGGTTTACCTTCTAGGGAGAGAGAGAGTTTAATTTTATTTGGAGTTTGGGAAGTGTGGTTGGCGTGGTAACACGTGTAACAGTCTTCTACTTGCCTTTGGAGTCTAGAAGATGAAGGAAACTTCTGGGGAGGAGTGCGTGCTGCCTGGCAGACTCTTGCAAGGTGACCTTTCTTGTGGCAGTTTAGGCAACTGGCGTTTCTAAACCTGCAAAATGCCCGGGAATGGGAACCCCCGCAGGTTAGGCACAAAGGGATCTGTTGTGGGCCACTGCTGTTTCTCTGCCTCGCTCCTACCTGTGGCTGATTCAGTTGCTTGAGGCGATGGACATCTGAAATTTCAGAGGGGTCAGTTTTGCTCATCACCTCCTCTGAGTGGACGGTGGAAGTACCAGGTTTTGGTGCGGTGCCCTGAATCTCAGCTGCTGACTGGACGGACAGTTCAGCAGCTAGGGCTTCATCCACCACTTGGGAAAGATTTAGATCTTTCCTGGCCAGCAGACGTCGTTGGAGCCTCTGATCTCTTACCCCGCAGACGAGTTGGTCGAGAAGCATGTCGTCTAAGTAATTCTTGAATTCGCATTGAAGAGCGGCTGTCCTCAGGGCGGCCATGTACTGGTTGATGGATTCTCCCTCGGCTTGCTTCCTCATCCTGAACGCGTAGCGTCTTGCGATCTGGGAAGGTTTAGGGGAGTAGTGGTTTGAGACTGTTTCTTGTAGCTCACTCCATGGAACGTTCTTGATGTCACGTGGTGCGAAAAGTGCCGTGGCAGTGTTGAAAACTGCAGCCCCGCAGTAGCTAAGGAAGTACGATTTCTTCCTATGCTCCGCAGCATCGGCTAACCCAATGGCATCGATGTAATGGCTAAAGCGATTTTTATAGGAGTCCCACGTCTCCTCGTTGGGTTTGAATGGTTGAAACGCCAGATTGGCGTTCATCTTGGGCCCCTCGGTGTCGTCGGTAGACCAGGCTATCTCTCTGGTTGGTCGTGGCCCTGGGCTGCGCTATCGTGAGTGCTGGCGGTTGTGGCTACAACGCCCTCGACTCGCTCCGTGACTCGGCCCTTGCAAGGGCAGCCTGCGTTGCGCTCTCTGCGCTCGTTGGCGGCGGCAGCTAACAGCGCCGTAACTGACTTCAGCTTAGTGATAACAGTTTGGATTTCGCGCTCTCTGGGGAGCGTTGGCGACTGTGGCTACAGTGCCGTACTTTGCTTGAGTAACTAATTCAAACGACAGCGGTTTGAATTTCGCGCCCTCTTGGGGGGGCGTGGGTGGCTGAGATCTCAGCGCCGTGACTTCAGCTCTTTTCACAGCGGATGAGCTTGAGCTTTCAGTGCGAAGCGACTGCGGCTCAGCTCCGAGGCTTCGCTGGCATGATTTTCAGCTTTTTTGAATTTGAGAGCTTCTGGCTAGCCTGCGGTCATATCCCATCCTCGTCGCCAGTGTTGTGGAGCGAAGGAATAGACGAGGCTTAGACCAGGGCATACAACTAACAGTCTTTATTCAGGGAATAAAGGGTTGTCGCGTCTGCTAGCTAACAAGGCAGACTGCAAGCGAACAACGGCTGGCTCTGCTCGACAGCCGGCTTTTATAGCCGACTGTCAAACGGAGCCAACCAATGGGAGCTGCTGATGCTCCCACTCAAACAGCGGACCTGGTTGGGAACTCCAACCAGTCCTAAAGACATAACAGGTAGCACCTTTTCCAATAAACAAGTTTAATTAAAAACCAGAAGCTTTTTAAAATGCTAACATTGATAGTTGGAAAAGATGCTAGTCTCTTTTTTGCCATCAGACTAACATGGCTTTCCTCCTGCAACATCTTCAGCAGAATAACATATTTCTCTTCCTAACGTTTTGGTAGAAATCATGACAGGAAGAGGTATAAAACTTTTCTGGGGTCAAAAACCATACTTGAGGAAACCTCTCATTCACAAGCCATATGTGTCATTTTAAAGGGGTACTAAACTTTAAATAAAAAGATTAAATTTCTATGATTATTACCTGCATGTTTAATGATTGTCCCCTTTGTCCAAATGATGGTTAAGCCTATTCTATAAATTCTATGCCAGGGATGTCAAACTTGTGACCCTTTAGCTGGATGCATCACATGTTGGCCATGCCCACACCCGGTTTAGCAAAGGGGAAAAAGCTGTGATACCTCATGTGACGCCACCATTGACGACATGAGATTGACACCCCTGTTCTATGCGATTATTTTATGAAAGAATGGGTTGTCTTCTCCTTCTCCTTCTTTTTGATTTTTATTTTTTTTAAATATAATAATTCCATCTTCAGTTAAACAGTAAGTTGCCTGGGTAGAATGTCTTGTAGATGTCCTAGTCAGAAGGGGTTATTTCTTTTCAGAAAGAATTAAAATTGTCATTTCCCATATTTGTCCTTTACAAATTAAGCCTAGATTTGAGTCAGGCATTCTGATGCAACTATATAATTGCATTATCACTGCAATTTGCTGCAGATATCAACTAATGGCACCACAGGCCTGCCCAGTCATTTCCTTGGATACCCATTTGTCTCATCTGTTTTTTAAAGATTCTTTTAAAATTTCATACAATACTATGGGTTGTCCTCGACTCATAACCACAACTGAGCCCAACATTTCTGTTGCTCAGTGAAACATTTGTTCAGTGAATTTTGCCCCTTTTTATGGCCTTTCTTGCCACTGTGGTTGTGAATCACTGCAGCTGTTAAATTAGTAAAGCAATTAAGTGAATCTGGCTTCCCCATTGATTTTACTTGTCAGAAGGTCACAAAAACTGATCACATGACCCCAGGACACAGAAACCGACTTAAATATGAGTCAGTTGCCGAGTGTCTGAATTTTGATCATATGAACATGGAGATGCTGCAAGAGTTGTAAATGTGTGTGAAAAACAGCCTAAGTTACTTTTTTTCTGTGCCGTTGGAACTTTAACAGTTATTAAATGAACTGTTCTAAATCGAGGACTACCTGTAAATGTTTCCATCTCCTTATGGGACCTTGGGTGAAAGAGAGAAGGGCGTCAGTGCCACTTTTGTCAGCTTTGTTGACTCTCTTTGGGTGTCCTGCCCGGCTCGAAGATGCTGCTGCTGCCACTGAAAGGGGCTCTCAGCCTTCCTTCTCCTGCCAGCTATTGTCTAGCCTGAAAAGCTGCAGAAGGAAGGAAGCAAAATGATGGTTCCCCTCTTGGGATCTGCCTTTATCCAATTGTCCGCTTTCTCTTCCACATATAAAAGTGACAGCGTTGGTCCTCGTTTAAAAAAAAAGAAGCAGCAATTATGATTCTCGACTTCATCCCCGAACTTTCTAACCAGCCCTTGATGCGCAGAAAGTCAGTAGGCTTATAAAACTACATTATCCCGAAATCTCCGGGAGTACTACGGGGAAACTACGTTACCCAGAAGGCCTCGCGAGGGCAAAAAATAATAATAATAATCATAGCGAAACTGCGAGGGCAAAAAATAATAATAATCATAGCGAAACTGCGAGGGCAAAAAAATAATAATAATCTTAGCGAAACTGCGAGGGCAAAAAATAATAATAAGCATAGCGAAACTGCGAGTGCAAAAAATAATAATAATCATAACGAAACTGCGAGAGCAAAAAATAATCATCATCATAGCGAAACTACATTCCCCGGAAGCCTTTTCGGGAACTTAACGCTGTCGTGGCGTTTCGGGGTTTCAGTGGGAATGCCTGAAAGGGTGTCCGGTTTTCTCCTTGCCGCTGAGTGTCTGAACGCCGCTTTTCCGCGGTGCCCGTGAGTCTTAGGGGAACGGCTGATCTCTCCTCTCCTGTGACTAATAAAGATGAGGAGGGCTGGGCTGGGTAAGTGGGGATCAACAACGAGAAGTTTGTGGTGGGGAGGAGCTGGGCTCTGCGGAGGAAACCCGTGTTCAGAGGTTCACAGATCCCTTGCCTTTGCCACAGCTTAGTCCCGGCCCTCGTCCTCGGGAAAAGATCCAAGCCGACCCCTTCTTTTAGTCTTCCTCTTATTTATCAAGGCGAATAGCAGAGGCGTGGCAATACCCTTCTTCCTATCGAGGTCTTCAGTTCTCCCCCCTCCCCGGTCAATGGGATTTACACTTAATGTGCCGGAGAGTTCGAAACATTCAATTGCAGGTGTGAATACAGATAGATTTATCTGTGGGGCTGTTGTCTCCTACCAGGAGTTAAGCCATATAGTTGGCTATTAGAACAGATGGTAGAGATGCAAAGAGCAAGTGGGGTGTAGGAGAGGGACTGGCAATCGGGGCATCCTATAGGTTAGGCTTAGACCGGGTGTTTTGGGGCCAGATACACTCAACTCAGTCTATTCTGCTGTGCTGTGGTTGGTGAAAAATATAGAAGGAACTTTATGCACACCTTTTGATGGTGTTCTATCAAAAGTCGGTATATAAATCTAGCAAATAAGAGCCAGAAAGAGTGCTGCGAGAATATCTACAGATCCTTTGCATCCTGGACATAAAGTGTTCCAACTTCTACCCTCAAAATGATACTATGCAGAACAACTAGACACAAGAACAGTTTCTTCCCATTTTTCTGCTAAATAACTAATTCCCACAACATTGTCAAAGGCAGTATTACCTTCATTATTCTCATCTTCCCTATTACCTATCTCCTTATGACTATAACTTTGTTGCTTGTATATTCCGATTTATATTTACTTAGTATCTTAGTATAATTTATGTTGCTTATTTAGTATCCACGACTATCACTAAGAGTTGTATCTAATGTTTTATAATGAATACAATGACTGATAATAGTCTATCACTATTGTTGTATGTACACTGAGAGCTAATACACAGGAGACATGTTCCTTGTGATCATACCTGGCCAATAAAAAATTCTAATTCTAATAAATACAGGTGGTGTATCAGATATACTGATTCAGTCATCCTATTATAATTGGATGGACACATATCTCAGATTCTTAAAGGCCAGCTGTACTTTGAGGGTGTATTTATGGGGTGCTTTCATCATGTATCTACAGAAACCATTGTATTACTGAATAAAATTGAAGCCAACTGTTGACTATGATGAGAGTGATAAAATACTATCTGTAACTTGTTTGTTCTATATATCTTCCCACATATGCTACAAAGATATCTATCAGTCTCTTTCCCAGAATATGTGGGAGGAGTTTTATAGAGGGATGGGCTGATAGATTAGACACAACCAAGGAATTGTATCAGGAAGTTCAAGACTGTGTGAGTAATGAAAACATGGGGCAATGAACAATGAATATTATGGCATTAATATTGAGCTCCTGTGGATGCTTAATATTCAGCCCAGTTTTCACTGCGTTAATGAGAATGAAAAATGGCATTAACTTTTAAAAGAGGTTTGTAACCCTGTCATCAAAACCTCCCATTCCCTGTCCTATGACATCTAGGAATAACCATTTATCAGAAATCTTTTATTGAATGCTAATTGTAGACCTAAGACTAGAAATATCATTTACTATGACAAAGATAACACTATACATTATGCAGATAGCTTGCAAATTTTAATCAGCTTTCAAGAAATTCCTAGGAACCTGGTATATTCTGAAAGCATTTGGGCCCTGTAAAATAATGAGAAATTTAAAATATAAATTAATTATCTGCAAAGTAATTCAATGGAATTCTATTAAAGTATATTCTACTTAATAATAACTCACTTTCTCCTATTTATGAACTCTTTTTGACTCTTGTCAAAAATGTTTTCCATTTTATATGGATAAGCTGTGTCTCATTTAGTCAGCTAACTCTGTAGATATATGTGCATTTCGACTGATTAATAGCTTCATCATATTTTTATGTTTTACCTAAAAAACTTGGAGAAAATAGAGAAAGATAGTGTATGCCACTTTTTTAAAAAAAATTCAGAAGTGGTTGACAGTCTCCAACCCCAATCCAAATGGTGAGCAATTTATTCACATCTTGAGCATTGAATAAACAATAACATCCAATAGGTCCAGTAATTATCAATTATATGTGTAAAAATAAGAACATAGATTTCCAGCATTCATGTGAGACCAGAAGGACCTTAAATTAGATCTTATGGCAATATTCCACGAGTAGATTTTTTCTAGGGCACATTTCTGGTTTTAAAGACAGAATTTCTGAGATGATTATAATCTATGTGATTATGATGATTATAATTTATAATTTATGTGTGTTGGAGGGGCCTCAAGCAGAAAAGAAGTTAATCCTGATTTTATCTATAGTCCAATTTATTACCAACTATAAGTAATCTTCACCAATTTGAAGACTATTCAGAAACTGGCACATTCTTAATTTTTTAATTGTGCTAAGTAATTTATTGGCTTGGTAACTGAAATTTTAAGAAAAAGTAAAAAGGCAAACCTACCATATGCTAGTATTCTAAACAATAGGCATTGAAATAGTCTCACTTTGGAAAAGTGTGACCTACTTCGTAAGTTTATTGCATGCCAGTTGCCACTTGGCCCTCCAATGACAATATACAGTATATCAACACTATAAGCTATAGCTGTGCTCTTTAAGACAAATTTGCTTAGGTATGTGGCTTTCCAAGTCTTGTGTGAAGCCTCCAGTTCCACCCTCAAATTGCTGCTGCATCATTACTTTATTAATGCTGCAGGTTATTAAAAAGAGCACCTGAATAGCATTCATTAGTTGCAGTTAATAAAATCAAAATTAGTTTTTGCCCTTTTCCTGTAAACCTGTCAGGAGGGCTTTTCATGGATTACGAATAAAACATTGCATATCTTTATTTCGGAAAATTAAATCCCATTGACAATGGTTTGTCTCCTGACCTGTTAAACTTGATTTGCCTTCAGTCTCTCCATTAGTGTTCTACATTTCAAGACTGGTTCCACTGCTTTGCCTGTCTGATGAAAAGGTAGAACGGGGGTCACCAACCTTTTGGACCTCAGGGACCACCAAACTCATAATTTTAAATCCCAGGGATCACTAACTGGTTCTGTGGGCATGGCCTAATTTGTGGGAGTGGGTTGGTGGTCATGTGATTGGCTGGGCATGGCTGAATAATAGAACCTTCAGTCTTAAGGGAAGTTCTGCTGTGCTTAAATGCAGAGCCGAAGATCTAAAGACTAGCTAGAAACAAGAAATCTAACCATTTCCTGCTTCCTAGCTAATCTAAATCTCCCGACACAGCAGAACACCTGATGGTTGGAAAAAGGAAAAATAGCAATTTAGCAGGCAAGTTTGCCAGGTAGGCAGTGAGTGGGTGGGGAGGGTTCCCGTGGGCCATCTGGGCGGCGCAGCCTTGTGTTTTTGCACAACCTGGATTAATTGCTTTGGGAGGGTGCTCTGGGAGTGAGATTTCTCTGTGGACCACTAAAATTTTCTCATGGCCCACCGGTTGGCGACCACTGGAGTAGAACAAGGTTTCATTAGCGCATACTTTATAGGACTTGAACCCAAATATCCTTGAAGAAAAGGATAGTAGCTTTTCTCCTATGGTAGTGTTGTAAATGGATTTTTGAATAATCTTAAGGTGCATCATTGACTAAAACTGATTAATAGGATTCTGGAAATAACTAGCTGTATTTCTGTGTTTATCATCATTTATGAAATAGATACCGGGGCATTTGGAATTGCAAGAAACATTTCCAGCCTGTGATGTATAACTTTTGAATTCTGTCCATATAAAATGGTCACTGTACAACTTTTAGATATCCAAGATATGTGAAGACATAGTTCCATCATTACTTTATTATTCTAACTATTTGGAAGTAAAGATCCTGGCTTCCTATGAAAATTATAAATCCATTTTCCTATTAGAAATATTGAGGCTGTTTATATGCCATATTTTCAATAAAATAATTTGTAATTGTTGATTTTTTTAGGTTATCAACATATCTGACTCTTACTTGATTCTCATCTTCCTTCTCTTGTCTAGCCACTACTTTTTCATCTGCCAAATTTATCATGAATTTGGTATATCTGTGGGCTGTTGGGTAAGAGGGATGTATGTATTAATTATGTGTGTACGAGATGCTATATGCATGCATGTAGTTAAACATAACCACTTCAACTTGTCCCACCCTTGTGCAACATGTTCTAAAATGGCCCTGTATCTAAAATAGTTGCATATCTTGCAAATAGTTTGTAATTCATTTTGTCATTTTATAGATATGCAAGATTTTTTTTTTTAAAAAAATTAAGCAATCAAAACCTTATGTTGTAGTTTCAGAGAAATGGGATATAATCATGACCTATTGATGTTGATAGGATTCTGGCTGCAAAAATTCCTACTTTAAACTTAAAGAGTTGTCTTTGAATATATGCTGTATATCTACAATTTATTAAAATTAACTGTACAATAATTGATTTCAGCAAATGGCCTGGCCTATTTTCTTATTATAGGCCAGTTGTTAAAATTTACATTCCTGCTAATGATGGAAAAGCTTAATTTTGTTTGTGAAATTAGTACTGATATGCTTGGAAAACCATTACATTTTTCAAAGAAGAAACAATGGGATACAATTATAAGGAGCATTTGTAATGATTTAGTTGCAACAAAATATAATCTTCATTTCTAACAGCCTAATTATATTTTTCGTTCTAAAAGTTGACCTATTATTTTTGTTTCCAAAGGAGCTATTAGGGGAGAGAATGAAAAAAAGTTTTGTAGCCTTTTAGAAACATAACAAATTTATATCCACAAGTTTTGTGGATCGTGTCCACTTAATCAAAGTGGGGTTTAATAGTGCAGTTATTATTACATCTTTGTGAGTTAGTGCAGTTCTCTAAAATAAATTTAATGACAAATGACTTTATGTGTGTGTAAATAAATTATGAAATAGTATATTTCTTAAGTTATCACTAAATGGCAGTACATTATTAGCAGGGGTGGGATTCAATTTTTTTAATAACCAGTTCTGTGGGCGTGGCTTAGTTAGTGGGTATGGCTTGGTGGTCATGTGACTGGGTGGGCATGGTCAACTTGACACCACTCACGAGGGGTGCTTCTCCTCACCTGGCCTTTCATGACAGTGATGCTGCAACAGTTGTAAGTGTGAAAAACGGTCATAAGTCATTTTTTCAGTGCCACTGTAACTTTGAATGGTCACCAATTTTAGACCAAACTCAGAAAGGATATGTAAACTCACGTTTGAATGTCAATGTTTCTAGCTAGCCAAGAAGCCTTGCTGAATGTCACTCATCTTAGATCCTTGTCATTAAAAGCTTCTTTCCAGCAGCTCTGCTTCATTATTCAATTATTTCTTCAAAATGCTGATCATTGCATGCGGCTGGAAGTATTTCCAGGGGAGTATTTCCTCCCAACAGCAGTGTAAAAAGCTTAAAACAACCCTTCTCCTTTAAGAAAGTACCAGGAAAGAAAAGAAAACCTCCTTCAGAGAAAGTAAGTCTAGGGATACTGCCAAGAATCTAATAAGGGTGGAAAAAAACAAAAGATTTACTTCCAACAATAGCTTCCCTGAACTGCTTAGAAAGTTAACAACTGGTTCTAGCAAATAGGTGAGAACTGGTAGAATCCCACCCCTGATTATTAGGTTTCTGTATCCCATAGCAATCATCCAGATGTATGATAGGCCTAATAAGGGTAAATTTTGCAGGGTAAATTTTTTACTGAATTTGCAACATAAATTGGGATGCTGTGTTAGCTCAGTGATTTAAGTCAGCAGCCTGGGTTTGAGACCTGAGCATCACACAATAGGGTGAGCTCCTGTCCTTGTTCTAGCTATTGGCAATCAAGCAGTTTGAAAGCATGCAAATGCAAGTAGATAAATAGGTAGCTCTTTGATGGGGAGGTAACAGTGCTCTATGACTTCATGCTGGCCACATGATGATGGAAATATCTTCAAACAACACGAGCTCAATGGCCTTAAAGGGAGATGAGCATTCCCCTTTAGAGTTGCAACAACTAATGGAATAAAATCCTCAAGGACTACATTATCTTACCTGTTATCTCATAACATATTATAATTGAATTTTATTTAAAACACTACAGTTATAAAGCAGTTATGAGCATCTTTAGATCTGTTAAAAGTATTAAGAGAGAGAGTGTATGTAAAAATATAAAAAAACTACACAAGGCTAATTTTAAAAAGGAAAGGGAAAAAAATATCAGGAAAAGCAGTTCAGGGGGAGGAGTTCAGGGAAAGGAGCAGAAAATAATATTTAAACAGTAACTGGAAGGGAAAAGAGTAAAAATTAAATAGTAAAATGCAAAAATGCAAAGTGCAAAATTTTCCACAAATTTCAATGTATAGAAAACAATTTCAAATCTTTATTTTGTATTTATACAAATAATTACAGATATTTTATATTTATACAAATAATTGCAGATAATTGCAGTAAATTAAATCCAATTCTACTTATCTGTGGAAACAAAGCAATTCAAAGAAAAAAGCTAACACGTTCTTAAATCAACTATTAGTATCTGAAAGATTATTTTTTATTCAAGAATAAAAAGTTACTTTCTTTGCAATAGTCCAAGAAAAATGTATTGGAAATTTCTTCATAAATTGACAAGTTCCAGTTTTTTAGAATATAATTTTACATTGTTTTAGCCTATAGCTCTCTTCTAAGAACATGCTTACTTTGCTATCAATAGTTTAAAAAAAGCACTTCCAAAAGTGCTTTTAATACTAGATTTTAAATTAATGTTTTATTAAACGTGCATCATAAAATCAAAAACTTATTTAGCAATTGCATATTCTGAGTGTTTTGTTTGGCTTCTGACTTTAAACAACTTACATTCCCAATTTACAATAAAAAGATGTAAACAGTACAATATAATATTACGTCATCAACACACACTAAAGGACAATCTAAAAGTCCCTATACATTCAATTATTTCAACAAGCCTTTTCCAAAAGCTGTCTCTTAATGGTTCTTCCTAAGTACCTGAAGAATGGATGTTAGCCTGCAGTAATTGCATAACCTTTAGATTTACATTTAAGTTCATTTAAATTTAATTATTTTCTTGGTTTTATTCTTAAATTTTTCTTTGTAAAAATTGCAAAGAGGCAGAGAGCCAGTTTAATCTTATGGTTAAGGAGACTACTTCTAGAAACCAGGAGACCATGAATTTTGGTCCCACTTTAGACATGAAAGATAGTTGTTTGACTTTGTGCCAGTCTCACTTTCTTAGCCACTTCTCTGGGTTGTTATGGGAAATAAAGCGGGAGGAAGATAATTTGATGCCTTCAGTTATTTATAAAAATAATACCGATATTGCTTGGATTGTGATCACAATTGGGACTGGAACCTTAGCCCCAATTGTGAACTAAAGTGATACAAAATATTATCATTGCATTCTAACCTAATCTCAGGATGTTCCAAAAGTGATGTTGGCACAGAGAAATGGTCCCTGATGCTAAATAGGAGTCTGAAAGGAGCTCCCCCTTGCAAAATTTTATCAAACAGTTAAGATACCACTCGAGCAAAATTACCCAATTATGAAGGTTTTTAATTGCTAGTCTTCAAGACTAACACAGCCTATTCTTACTAAAAGGACAAGGGACAATTTCTAAGACCAGTTTTAAAGAGTAGAACTTAACAGTTGAGGAAGGTGATGTCTTTGATTTTGTGTTGGCATGAAGTACAAGGAGAAAGAAAAGACAGATCCCATTTAATTGATGATCCAAATATGTACACCCCACTAAGAAAATCAAAGAAGGGGAAAAAAGATGGATCTTAATATATTTTCTTTGGAAAAACGTTAACAGTATAAAAAAACATTGGACTATCCAGTTCAGGATTTTTTTTTAAGATGATGGATTTGGATCCTGAATTCTCTTTGCAATCCATTGGATTGGATTATAGACTGAAAGGCCCTGAGTGTAACATGAATTAATCACCTTTGTATATATTCCTTCTTTCCTTATTCATTACTTTGACCCTGTCCATTTTTAGATTATGAAAGGTTTAGGTTGTTCCTGTTGTATGATGACAACTTGCCTGTTCTTTTAAAACAGGTGATGATTTAAAAAAACTAAACTGTTCTTTCCCTGCAGAAACTATACTGTTCAAAAAATAAAGGGAACGCTTAAAAAACACAATGTAACTCCAAGTCAATCACACTTCTGTGAAATCAAACTGTCCACTTAGGTAGTAACACTGATTGACAATCAATTTCACATGCTGTTGTGCAAGTGGAATAGGCAACAGGTAGAAAGCATAGGCAGTTAGCAAGACATCCCCAATAAAGGAGTGGTTCTGCAGGTGGTGACCACAGACCATTTCTCAGTTCCTATGCTTTCCGGCTGATGGTTTGGTCACTTTTGAATGCTGGCGGTGCTTTCACTCTAGTGGTAGCATGAGACGGAGTCTACAACCCACACAAGTGGCTCAGGTAGTGCAGCTCATCTAGGATGGCACATCAATGTGAGCTGTGGCAAGATTTGCTGCGTCTGTCAGTGTAGTGTCCAGAGCATGGAAGCGCTACCAGGAGACAGGCCAGTACATCAGGAGACATGGAGGAGGATGTAGGAGGGCAACAACCCAGCATCAGGATCGCTACCTCTGCCTTTGTGCAAGGAGGAACAGGAGCACTGCCAGAGCCCTGCAAAATAACCTCCATCAGGCCACAAATGTGCATGTGGCTGCTCAGTCAGAAACAGACTCCATGAGGGTGGTATAAGGGCCCGACGTCCACAGGTGGGGGTTGTGCTTACAGCCCAACACCGTGCAGGACATTTGGCATTTGCCAGAGAACCCCAAGATTGGCAAATTCACCACTGGCACCCTTCTTCACAGATGAAAGCAGGTTCACACTGAGCACATGGGACAGACGTGACAGGGTCTGGAGACGCCGTGGAGAGTGTTCTGCTGCCTGCAACATCCTCCAGCATAACTGGTTTGGCAGTGGGTCAGTAATGGTGTGGGGTGGCATTTCTTTCGGGGGCCGCACAGCCCTCCATGTGCTCACCAGAGGTAGCCTGACTGCCATTCGGTACCAAGATTAGATCCTCAGACCCCTTGTGAGACCATATGCTGGTGCAGTTGGCCCTGGGTTCCTCCTAATGCAAGACGATGCTAGACCTCATGTGGCTGGAGTGTGTCAGCAGTTCCTGCAAGACGGAGGCATTGATGCTATGGACTGGCCCTCCCGTTCCCTAGACCTGCATCCAATTGAGCACATCTGGGACATCATGCCTCGCTCCATCCACCAACACCACGTTGCACCACAGACTGTCCAGGAGTTGGGGGATCTCTCAGGAGACCATCTGCCACCTCATCAGGAGCATGCCCAGGCATTGTAGGGAGGTCATACAGGCACGTGGAGGCCACACACACTACTGAGTCTCATTTTGACTTGTTTTAAAGACATTACATCAAAGTTGGATCAGCCTGTAGTGTTTTTTTCCACTTTAATTTTGAGTGTAACTCCAAATCCAGACCTCCATGGGTTGCTAAATTTGATTTCCATTGATAATTTTTGTGTGATTTTGTTGTCAGGACATTCATGTAATAAACAAAGTATTTAATAAGAATATTTCATTCATTCAGATCTAGGATGTCTTATTTTTGTGTTCCCTTTATTTTTTTGAGCAGTGTATATTTTCCCATCTGAATTTCTGATGCTTTAATTTGATTTTTTTTTTCAGGTGAAGGAGCTGCTGGCAGCAACTATGGTTATACCAATAGCGGCTATAGTGTATATGAGGAAGAAAATGAGAAGTTAACAGAAAGTTTGCGTTCAAAAGTCACTGCCATAAAATCTGTAAGTATGTTGTTTTACTATCAGCATCTTAACTGATTTGAGTACATAATGGTTGGATTATCAGTGTGTAGCAACAGTTTAATTGAATTGAAGCACAATGTTGCCCATCAGAAAACATGGTACATTTGTTCATAGAATAGATTCTACCTATACTTGGATTTGAGTTTCAGCTGCCCTTTTTGGCTAATCAACATATTAGTTACAAGCTGGAACAGGCAGATGATTTTGTTTTTTTAGCAGTGTGACTAAGAATTGTGTTCCTAAGGGAATGATAGCAAATATTAGTAAGTCGGTCTATTTATAAGACAAAGTTAAATTATTCTGTTAAATAAATAATTATAACTGAAAATCGAACTAAACCAGCCCAGTTGCCTAGTCTGGTCCCTATAAGTAAAGTTGGCATATCCTCATTTGCCAATTCATTTGCTATGTCTTTATGGTTTAGACCTCGGTGTGGCAAAAAAAGATCAGGTTTGCTTTAAAAAGAAACACATCCAGGATTAACACTGGAAAACAACCAGAAAACAATGCCTTAATCAAGGAACTATATCAAGAAGAAAAATCCATCCCACCAATTTTGGCAAATCAAGCTACTGAATATAAGCAGGGAGCAAATCCCACTAGCACTGATGATGTTATTTAATGGGTAATGAAACGCTTCAAAGCAAACAACCAAGATGAAAAGCACCGAAGACTCCACCTATCTGTATTTTTATTGATTCTGGCTTTATTCCACGGTTTATGATTGCATTCATTTGTGACATAACAAGAAGTTTTGAAATACATTCTCTTGGGGACAAAACAAAGCCCAAAAATCAGAAGACACTCTTATTTATCTAGAGAAAGCCTTTAAAAAAAGACTTTAAAAAAAAGTAAGAGTTGTCCTAGTCACATGTTTTAGTAACTATGATTCACTTAACAACCATGGGAAAAGCTATCAAACATCTGTTGCATCATGTGATGTCTTGCTTACTGATGAAGTATAACAATTAACAACTGGATATTTTATAATTCCTTCCTAATAATTCCAAGTATTGTTTTTATAATTTTGTATTTTTTAAACAGCAGCCAAATTACATGATTTTTTTTTGTCAGCTACCTAACTTCACTCTGACATCGTTTTCAGATGAGTCCTACCTGTTCATTTCCTATGAATGATCTGATGACTTCATTACTGATCAAACTCAGAAAGATTGTGGTTTTTTTTGGGGGGGGGGGAACAACGCAGATTGTCATAAGATGGAAGATGCACAACTGGAAAAGATCAGGAAACAATGGTAGCCCTGGAGGACTTCTTTATTTGTAAAGCATGAAATGACACAGTTGGTTATAATATCTTATAAGTAGTGTGTAGCTCATTTAAACTACATGAGCCCAACTCATTCTATTCTACTCTACTCTACTCTACTCTACTCTACTCTACTCTACTCTACTC